TATAATCAAAGTTTCAATTTCCAAGACCCTCAATCTAAGATGTTATTCATTGTAATTAACTCATATTCCTTCATGCTAGAGCTCGGCTCATAGTCACACTACGTTTGCTAGAGCTCGGCTCATAGTCATACTAATTTGTGCTAGAGCTCGGCTCATAGTCACACTACGTTTGCTAGAGCTCGGCTCATAGTCATACTAATTTGTGCTAGAGCTCGGCTCATAGTCACACTACATTTGCTAGAGCTCGGCTCATAGTCACGTCATCTAATCCCTAAACCACTTCTTAGTCTAGGCTCTATTCCCTTTAGAGTAACCATTGAGGCCTACTCCTAATATATCTTGACTTCACAAGTCCACCCTAAATATCCTTTAAGGTTACTTAACTCCAATACCTTGGGATTTGCCCCCAAGCACTATTGAGCTAACATCCCCGACTAGTCTTTTCTACACTAGTCGTTTATTCTTAATAACCCAATGCAATTTCATAATAATTCGTATATTTCAATTTAATTCCATCTTCAAGTATAACTTGACACAAATATTAAAATATCACTTCTATTCCTCCCATGAGGTAAAAGTATATTTATCACCATATAATTTGTAATTTATACAACAATTTGGCCATTTTATTCATAACACATAATCATACATGATTTATTCATAAATTTGTATATTATGCATTTTTACTTATAAACCATAATAATCTCATATGGGCCTTTAAGCTATTAATAATTCATGCCAACACATATATATATCATTCGAGTAACCTTATGAAATTAACCCAATAATTATAAGCAATATAGTCGGTCATCCTCACCTTAAGTGAGCTTGAGCGCGTTCTACGCTTCTCGGTTGAACTTTGACTAATTCCGGCGAACTTTGACCAACTCCGGTGAACTTTGACCAACTCCGGCGAAACTCTGGCGAAGCTCAAAAATACTTTAATCAAGTTCCTAACAAGGTTTTAACACCATAAAACCTTAATCAATACAAATAACCTCTAAAAGGTTATTTTCCGGTGAACTTGTCGGTTTGGCTTCTAAATCCGCTCTTGGACTTAGAACCACTTTCCAACCCATTATTCTACACTCTTTTCATGTAGAGCAATCCCAAGGGTTCTCCATATGATATATAAATCATATGGTAGGAGGAAAATAAAGGAGAGTTATGATAAGGTTATTACCTTAATCCTTTCACACTTTAAGTACTCTAGTTCCTTTTCTTGGGATTCTTTCTTGTGGAGCTTTCTTCAACAATGGAGAAGGAAGATGGAGAAATCCTTGCTTTTGCTTGGGGTGTTCTGGCCGCAGGAAATGAAGGAGAGAGGGGTGGGGGATGGTCTTTTGTCTCAAAGATCAAATGAGGGTGGATGGGGTCCCCTCATTTTTGTTTGATGCTTCCTTTTTCACTTCACACACATCACCCATGTTTCTTCCATCACACCAGCCGGCCAAGGTGTTGAAAAATGAGGCCAAATTCGTGGGTTGGCCCCCACTCATGTGGGAGGTCAACTCTTTTTGTCCAGAAGTGTACAATCGATCTCGAAAGTTGTATTTTTCGGACTGTTTTAAATATATTTTATTTTATTTGGTCGAATAAAATATAATATGTGTTCTCCATCATCATGACCCTTATAATGAATATTCATTCCCCAACTTTAATTTATAAGTCCCCAAAATTCAATTTCGGGCTTTTATCGGTTAAATTGCCAATACCGGCATTTGGGCCTCTTTTGACCAATCGGTCAACTCTGGACCCTTCCCATGGCTCAAATGAGTTATCCCCTACCATATAAATATTATCTAGACCAAGATGAATAATTTATGTGGTCCCGGGAATATCGGGCGGCCCCCGCTCCCGGTGCGGGCCCCACGTGCGAATTTACTATTCGTGCAAAAGAATTATTAAAAATTCATAACATCATAAATTCGTTAACCATTCCATAAGGTTAAAATACAATATTCACTTAAAAGTAAATACACTTGGGGACGGTGTTACATAGTAATTACACCAAAGTGTGTAATCTCCTCAACAACATCAACACCCCACCCACATTCCGCATCCCCCTACTGCTATACCCCCTACTACCATAACCCTATCTCTTTATCACCCTACCTTTATCACCACCCCCACCCCTAGGGATGAGTTAATGATGAAACTTTTCTCCCTTGTAGCATCCCCGAGTCCCGGTTGTTGTATTAGCACAAAATACAAAAAAGTATAAGAAAATTGAAATTAAAGTTTTTTTTTTTTGAACGTTTGAAATTAAAGTTAATAAATTGAGAAAACAAAGAACTTATTATTAAAAGTGACATATAGTGTGTACATAGTTTATATATTTACAAATCTTAGAGTGTGACTGCTAGATAATTATATGTGGAGAAGTTTTAGAGTTGAATTTTGTTTTATGGACTGAAGTTAGTAGACGAACTTAAGTTTTAGAGATGTATTTCACTCTAGAATCAACTAACTCATCCTGTAAAAAAGAAGTGTTGTAAAAAAAGGAGTAAAAACCAAGTTATATAGTGGCTAGTTTTAGAGATGTATTTCACTTTAGAACCAACTAAGTTGTACATTACAAAAAATCAAAAATCAGTTATGCACATTACATTTGAACTTGAAATTCAGTTGATTCTATAAGAAAGTTTATGTAGTACTTCGTATATATATGACCATTTGTCACGTAAATGTAGGAGAGAATAAGACTATAAATATAAATGTTTATGTCATTATCAATATTTGACAGGACAAGGATGGGATTTAAGTAACAAATGGAGACAAGAAATGAAAAAAAAAACAGAGAAATTAAAAGAACACCAAGAAATAAAATGACAAATAAGAAAACATATATAGTACGTACAGATACAAAAAAAGCAGAAATGAAGAGGAAAATATTACCTATAAAGCTTCTTGACGTAAATGTAAGAGAAGCATCTCTATAAGAAAGCGTATCAAACTCAAAATTATGGATCTATTTTTTATTGTAATACAAAAATCATGTAAACTGTTGATATGTAAAGTGCAAAAACCACAAACATAATGGAAAATAGGGGAATAAGAAAAGAATAAAAGTGGAATCTAAAGCAATACCCAGCATCCGCATTCACCACCAACTCCAAGTTAATTTTTTTTGGAAGACACAACTCCAAGTAAATATAGATGCTGTGAAAAATAATACTCCCTCCGTCCCAGGGAGAAGTTCCCGGGTTGACTTTCACACATATTTAGGAAATAAAGTTACTGAGGGGTAAATTTTACTGTTTGGCACTGTTTCGACACTGTTTGGCACTGTTTCGACACTGTTTGGCACTGTTTTGCACTGTTTGACACTGTTTTGATGTAGGATAACTTTCCATTTAGGGAAATGGGAACTTTTTGTTGGGACTACCAAAAAAGGAAAGTGAGAACTTCTCCCTGGGACGGAGGGAGTATAACGGAATCGGTTAAATCAATCATTAAAAATTGAAAATTGAATAGGAGGAGAAAGATTACTAATAATCCACTAATAAGAGGAACTTAAACTAAGTTTAAGATTGCTAATAATCGACTAATAAGAGGAACTTGAAAATTTAAGTAGAGACACTATTGTGTTTGGCTCCAAGAGAGTGGGTATCGTGTAATAAGGTAGCTAGTACTATCTCCGTCCCGCTAAGATTGTCCCATTTTATCATTTCGGTTCGTCCCAGATTGTCTCATACTTTATTTGATAATGTTTGTGTGGCTCTAAATCATTCTTATATTATTCTTATTTTATCAATTCAATATCAACCACATAAACCACTTTTTATAGATTTATGTGTCACTCTCTCTTGTCTCATTGTTAGTGGGACGGAGGAGTAACATTTAATTACGGATTATAACATATACGGAGTATTTTTCATCTTAATATTTTTCATCTTAAAATGCATGACGCGGGAAAGTCTGTGAAGGGATGAAGCGCAGAAGGATGACATCATGGTGAGAGATGGACCTATATACTTCCTCCGTTTTTTTATTTGCAACGGTCCACTTTTCACGTTTGCCAACTCACAAGTTTGACCATTAATATCTTCCATTCCTTATTAGTAAAAAAAATTAAAAAATTTAGATTATGAAAATTTAAAGTGATAGAAATTTAACAATATTTTTTAAAAATTTAATTTATAATACATTAATAAATAAAATAGAGTCAAAGTATAACATGTGAATAGTGTAAAAAGTCTAAGGTTGCATTTAAAAGAGAATGGAGGTAGTATATGAACGAACAGTAGAATGACCTGATGAATAGTAAAAAAATGTATTGCTGTATTTATTTTAGATTATAGTTTAGATTTAATTAATTTTTAAGCATACTTCCATATATGAATATATGATGAAGAATCTTTAAGGTTAGTAACTCATAAGTACAAGATTAAAAAAAAAAGGTACAAGATTATTTTTGGCATCAAAATTACCTTACACTTGGGGAAAGTAAAATAAATGGTGAGAGTTTAAGATACTTTATGTTTGAAAATGGTTACTTTGCTTAGTTTCACTACAAAAAAACACTCGTTTAGTCACGGACCGTAGTCACGGATTTGGTCCGTGACTAGCCTAGTCACGGACTAGTCACGGACTAGTCACGAAAATTCAAAAAAAAAATTAGTCACGGATTTTACCGTGACTACAGCCGTGACTACACGTAGTCACGGATTTTTGTCCGTGACCTACATCCTCCGATTGCCCGTTTGATTTTCCGGCCTGGCTTGTTTTACTCCGGCGACGTAGTCACGGCCACATCCGTGACTACAGCCGTGACTAAATTTAAAAATTAATTTTGCATCTCCCATAAATCAATCCGCAACGGTATTATGTACGGATAAATTTAGTCACGGACATGGCCGTGACTATGTCCGTGACTACTTTGATTTACACGTCATTTACACGTCATTAACACGGATCAGACGCGTAATGGACACGGTTTTGCTTAGTGACGGACAAATCCGTGACTAAGTCCGTGACTAAAGTTTTTATATATGCAGGAGCAGTTCATTCAACAGAACCACACCAATTCATTCACAGTATATACAGTATCTGTTTGAAAGATCGAAGGATGTAGTCTGTCTTCTATCATTTTCCCCATTTATGCAGTTAAGGTATGTTATTTGAATTATTATTTTTATTTAGAATTAGTTGGTTCAATTTAAATTATTAAAACAATTAAATTAGTGATGTTGTTAATTAATTAACAACATATTCAACTGTAAGCGTATTAATGTCATAAAATTAGTTAAACTGTTAGGTTTATAAAATAATTTAATTAAAATTAGTTAGCTAAACGTAGTTTTAAACGTAGTGATCTTTATGTTAAGTGAAATTAGTTAGTTAAACGTACGTTAGTAATGTGTTAATTAAGTGTATTGTGAATTGTTATTGTAATTGTGTATTATTTATTAATTCAAATGACCTTATATACATGTTCAAATTATTGGGTTTAATTTGGTCATATTATTTAATTTAGTGAATTGGAATTGTTAATTGTGTAGTACTAATAACATTAAATGTCATTAACGTAATAATTTAGTGTAGGTTTAAATGTAGGTTTACAAAAATAATTTAATTAAAATTCGTTAGCTAAACGTAGGTTTAAACGTAGCTAGTGATGTGTTAATTATGTTATATTAGTTAGCTAAACGTAGGTTTAAACGTAGTGATGCATTAAAAGAGGACGGAATGAACTAGTTAAATTTAGTTAAATTTAACTAAATGAATTAGTTAAATTTAGTTAAACGTATGTTTAATTTAAATGTAGTGTTAATAAATTACTTAAATTTTTTGTAATATTAGTTAAATTTAAGTATTAGGTAATTACTTATATTTTGTGAATTATTGTTGTGAATTGTGTGCATTTCATTTAATTTAGTGAAAATTAGTTAGTTGATTATTTAGTGAAATAACTCACTTAAAATTTGTTAGTATTATTGTTACATTAATAACCTTCGTTTTGAACGTGTATACTTTTTTATTATAATATTCAGGCATAATGTATAAACAAAATAGAAGTTGGATGTATGATAAAGATGCGGTATTGTACGGAATGCAATCAAATTTTCTCGATGGAGTCGGGGAATTTATTGAATTCGCACTTGAACATCCGGCTTATATGAGTGGTGATAAAATAAGATGTCCATGTTCAAAGTGTAAAAATCTCAAATTTAAAGACCCACACGAAGTTGGGTATGATTTGTACGCTGTCGGTTTTGTTCCCAATTATTATAATTGGACTTCTCACGGCGAACCTTTGGATCCATCTGTTATACCACAAACGGTAGGTTCGTCTCGTTACGTCCCTCCAGAGATGAGTGCGTGGGGAGACCGTGCTGAAATGAGGTGGGACCAACAAATGGTATATGACGCATACGGTGTACCGATGTCTCAGTTCAACCCCCCACAACCACCTAACGACCCCCCTGAAGCCTCAACCTCGTATCAACCAGATGCGGATGAAAATCCGACATTTTATCAACCTTATGTGGATGAAGGTTTGGCTGAGAGATTTCAGGATGTTCTAAAAGCTGCCGACCAACCTCTGTATGCTGATTGTGAGGGATACTCTCAGCTATCCGCCGTTACTGAATTCATGAACATAAAAGCCGAATACAGTCTCCCTGAAACTTGCATGAATAGAGTCTTGCAGTCAGTAGGAGGGATGCTACCGCGAGATCATACCCTTCCGGATTCATATTACCACATGAAGCAGTTAATGTCTAAGTTGGGGCTACCTTGTGTTGAAATTGATGCGTGCCCGGAAGGATGTATGTTGTTCTGGAAGGAGGATGAGGCACTTGAGTTCTGCAAGTTCTGTGGTGGAGACAGATACAAACCTGTTCGTCAAGGTAAAAAGAAACCACGACATAGGTCTGCACTGTCTAAACTGTATTACCTCCCAATAGCTCCTCGACTGCAGAGGATGTACGCTTCGACTGCTACTGCGAAACACATGACATGACATGTTGAGCACGAAACCAACGAGGGTATGATGGCTCACCCTTCGGACTGTGAAGCCTGGAGACACTTTGACCGCTGTCATCCTCAGTTTGCTATGGAGCCACGAAATGTGCGGCTGGGATTGTGCTCAGATGGATTTGCTCCTTTTGGCAGGTTTGGCAAGAACTATTCATGTTGGCCGGTCATGTTAACTCCTTACAATCTCCCTCCCGACATGTGCATGAAAAGTCATTTCATATTTTTGTCTTTAATTTGTCCGGGTTCCAAGGATCCTGGGCGAAAGATAGACATTTATCTCCAACCCCTTATCGAGGAGATGAAAGAACTGTGGGCCGTTGGGACACCAACTTATGATGTTTCATCAGATAAAATGTTTATCATGAAAGCTGCCATCATTTGGACCATTAGCGACTTCCCTGCCTATGGCATGCTTTCGGGATGGAGCACACACGGTTTGATGGGATGTCCGATATGTATGGAGAAATCAGGTGCCAACTGGCTTAGTTACAGCAAAAAAGGAAGTTACTTTGATTGTCACCGCAAGTTTCTCCCGGAAAGGCACCGATATCGAAAGGACAAGAAGTCTTTCATTAGAGGCAGAGCGGTACGAGAGAGCCCACCCCCGAGATTGACCGGTGAAGAAATTTATAACCGGGTTCGACGTTTTCCTACGGCTATGGAAGAGCCAAACCAAGAGCCATATGGGTATTCTGATACCCATAAGTGGACAAAGAGGAGCATATTCTGGGAGTTGCCTTATTGGAAAGACCTTCTCATCCGTCACAATTTAGATGTCATGCACACTGAGAAGAACGTCTTTGACAATATATTTAACACGGTGATGGATTTGAAAGGCAAAACTAAAGACGGTCTTGCAGCTAGGAAAGATATGACTATTTGGTGTGATAGACCCGAACTTTCTGTTGATCTAGAATATCACGGCAAGGAAGTTCCAAAAGCAGTCTACCAGGTCACAGAACCACAAAAGGCAGCAATATTACAATGGCTTGCGTCTCAGAAGTTTCCAGATGGCTACTGCTCCAACTTGTCTAGATGTGTAGACATGAACAAACTTACCACGACGACGAGCATGAAAACTCACGATGCTCATGTAATAATGCAAAGACTTCTACCAATTGCACTAAAAGAGATGCTTCCTGAACACGTATGGTCCTGCATTACTGAAATCAGTTTGTTGTTTCAATCGATATGTTCCAGCGTTTTGGATGCGGCATCCCTCCGGAGACTACAAGATTCTGTTCCCATTCTGATGTGTAATCTAGAAAAAATAATGCCTCCATCGTTTTTCGATACAATGGAACATCTTATAATACATCTTCCGTATGAGGCTTTGACTGTTGGGCCCGTCTTCTATCGCTGGATGTACAGATTTGAAAGGTTAGTAACAATTTCATTTAAAAAAAGAATATTTATTTCACAATAACTGTTAACATGTGTACCGTTGTTATATTGCATTATTGCATTATACATCTTCCGTATAATGTTTATTTTACCTACGACTATGTTTGGCACACAAAAAGCTCTAGCTTCTAACTTCTCTATTCTTTAAAAAGACCTTAAAAGACTCTAGCTGTATGTTTGCCACGACATTTTTTAAGAGTTTTTCAAATATTAAAAGATCTTTTTTTAGATGCTACTGGGTGTAGTATCTGAGAAAAACTCGTGACTTTTAGTATTAATTAGTGCTAACAGCTTGTATACCAAACCGAACTAAATCATGATTCAGTCAGCTTTTTATCAAACAACTATCACCTTTTCTTTTTAAGATTTTTTCAGTTACTAAAAGCTAACAGTTACTAAAAAGCTCGTAAAAGTATCTTTTTAGATAGTTGCCAAACATACCAGTAATATAAATTATAATAAGAATGATAAGAAATATTATTACGGAGTATCATACATGATGACGTAATATATTTAAATAATCAAGGACTTCAACATAATTCATAGATGTAATTAAGATGAAAAATATATGATATAATCCGTAATTAAATGTTAATAGCTAGTTCATTAGAGCATCTCCATTCTTTTTCTCTATAATCAATTCTTTCTATGATTCTTACCATTTAAATATTGTTATGTAATTAATTTTAAATTAATCTCAAAATTTGTTTATGTCTCTCAATCTTCATCTTCAAATAATATGTCTTTTATTTGTCCTGCATTAATCTCTAATACATATACTTTTCAAATAATTTTAAAATAATCGGGATTCATATTTTGATCCCAGATTATTGTAGCAAATAATTTTATTAAACAATCTATGTCACTCAATGATAGTACCATGTCACCAATTTAATCTCATAATAATTTTACCAATGAGGATGCCCTTACCCAATTCCCGCTCTCTTAGGATGTTTTCTTTTGGACTGTTTTCAGTCCCAGATCAAACCAAACCAGACCAGATCAGACCAGACCAGATCAGACCAGACCAGACCAGACTTCCGTAGTTATAAAATACACAGAGACCAGACTTTTACCAGACCAGATCAGACCAGACCAGACCAGACCAGACCAGAAAATTTCAGTCCAAAAGAAAACATCCTTGGGGCCAAACACAACAATCCCTACATTAATTAGTTTTTTTTTATTATTTCTATAGATTTTTAGAGAATAAGAAGACAACTGTGGGATCAACTAACTACTCTTGGAAGGAACCATAACATTCCTTGGGTTATTATGGGTGACTTCAACTGTGTCTGCTATCCTAAGGAGAGAAGAGGGAGCAAAGAGCCGGCGGATTATTTTACGAAAGACCTCATGCTGTGTAGGAACATCCTTAATCTGGAGGATGCCCCCTCAAATGGACTGGAGTACACGTGGAATGGAGGAAACATATGGGCGAAATTGGATAGGGTCCTTGTGAATTAAAATTGGCTAGCAAATGGCTGGAAATGTGTAGCAGACTTCTTGGATTTTGATGATATATCTGATCACTGCCCCATCATCATATCTTTACTATGTAATGAAAAGAAAGGTCATAGCCCCTTCAAATTTTTCAACATGTGGATGAAGCACCCAACTTTTAAGGAGATTGTTCAACAAGTCTGGGAAACAAGCATCGAAGGATACCAACAATTCAGGTTGTGCCAAAAACTGAAACTATTCTAGAATCCCCTGAAACGACTGAATCAAAATCAATTTGCTCATATTTTTGCAAAAACCAAGGAAGCCAAAAACAACTTCAAAAATCTCCAAATATCTCTCAACCAGGATCCAGATAACACAGCTATTCTTGAACAAGTGAAGCTAGCCAGGAAAAGAGCCATTTTCTTATCTAAAGCTGAGCTATCCTTCTTCCAGCAAAGAGCAAAAACTACCCATTTGGTTGAAGCAGACCGATGTACCAAATACTTTCATGCTATCACAAAAAGAAATGCAGCCTCCAGGTGCATAGCTTCTGTCAGGAAAAAATGGCCTGTTAACTACCTCCAACGAGGAAGTCATTCAAGAATTCATTAACTATTTTGAAGAGATTCTAGGAACTGATGTCTCGTGTTGTGATTTGGATGAACAAGTGATCAGCAATGGCACCCTGATTAACACTGACAAGACACTCAAACTCATTGAACCTATTACTCAGGAGGAGGTAAAGGCTGCTCTGTTTGATATAGGGAAGGATAAAGCCCCCGGACCCGATGGTTATTCGTCAGGTTTCTTTATAAAGAATTGGGATCTGATTGGAGAAGATTTTTCAGCGGCAATCCTTGAGTTCTTTGCACATGGTAAACTACTCAAACAAATCAACCATACTGCCATAGCCTTAATTCCCAAATCTTCTCACAATCCTTCAGCTACTGACTATAGACCCATATCTTGTGCTAACGTCACATATAAAACCATTTCTAAGATTCTGTCATCCAGAATGAGCCCTTTATTGACAGATATTATTGTTGGATAATTGATACCCATATTGTATAAACAGGAGAAATTGAACAAGAGTGAAGAAGAAATGATGAAGAAGAAGGAAATGTGTATAGAATGAGTATTGGTTATCTGAGTTACAAGTCTCCTATAAGGAGTATATATAGGGAAAATCCGGGTCTGGGCCTCTAATATGAGCCTGACAGACCCGGTTACATAAATGGACTGATAGTATAAAAAGCTAATCTAGAACATCTGAATAATAATAATAATAATAATGTACAATAATATTAATGATATCTGCTAAACGTGTGTGGGCCGCTGTCCAAGCCTAGTAGTCGGCATACCGGGGGGTCGGAGTCCATATAATCCATCAGGAGTCCCCCACTCCCTGAGTCGAGAGTACTCGAGGCGAAAGGGAGTAGTCCAAACTGTATCTGCAACGTTCTTCCTCTTCGGCCGGGGGACCACCACCCTTGTCCATTATGGGGAGGTGCCTCGTTAAAAACCTTTACTAGGAAAAACCCAGTGGGAAAAAAATCCTAATAAAGGGAAAAAGAGTACACCTAGCGCCCCCAACATGAAACAAGGAAGGTAAATCCTCTCTGGCATAATCAATCTAGCTCAGCTCCTCTTCAACTGACTCAGCTCTCGTTCCTGCTCTTGCGTGATGTTTTCTGCTCATCTAGAAACTCTGACCCCTCAGTCCCCCAGTCCCCATTCTTTGAGGCGAGTGGAGACGAGGTGAAAATGAGTAAAGTCATCTTCGTAGCTACACATTTATCATACATATAAAAAAAATTTCTTGGGATTTATGTTCCCGATCGGGAGTTCGTCACTTGAAACAAGTGGAGATGTGAATTGTTAATGTAATGATAAAATACTTAGTAGAATGGATGTGTGAGCCATTCGTAAGCAACGGTGGCCACTCGAGGAATGACTAAGACCGGTCTTCGTACCCGACTTGGTCGGGGTTTTGTCTTCATGCCCAACTTGGTCGGGGCTTTGTGCCTGAGGATACAGGGCTTTGTGCCTGAGGAGTCAGAGCTTTAAATCCTAGTGATGGGTCTCAAGCCACACTCTACTAGGTATTTGATCATAAATGTGTGATAGTGTGACATCTAACAGATAAAAGAAATTATTTAAATAAATATAAATAATAGAAAATTGAAGAATACTCATTTTTTGAAGTGGGCTGGGCCAAATACTTCATGTGTTGAAATCTAGTCCTTTGAAAGAACTTGCCCAACAAAATGATCCGGCCCATTATTATTAATGAGAGTCAATCTTGGGCTTGATGAAGTCTTAGTCCGTATAGATTTTTGACTCCATGTTAGAGGCCCAATTGTCCAAGTTAGATGCATTTGCAACCAGCCCTTCAAGACCTAGGAGATGCGGAGCCGCAGAGGAAGCGGATAAAAAACAAACGAATCTCCAATCAGCCGAAGATGCTCTCAGCCGCCGGGAAGCTGAAACGGGGCTTGACACAGTGGTGGGACGCCTAGAGCGAGGCAGGCGACGCCGTGGTGGAGGTGGCGGATTCCGTACCAGAAGTTCATACCTCGCCGCTGGCCGCTGTCTGGTGGGTCTCGGTTTCTGGTCTGACAGGGGACCTCACGGGTGGTGTCGCCGGTTGTCCCCACGAGCTTCAGAGCGCCATTAATGGCGGCAATGGCGGGGTCTCCAATCGGCCAGATCTCAAAGGCAACCTTGAGTCTTTGACGAACTGGTAGAGCGTGACTGGGTGCTCTGAGAGACTGGTTCCGGAGCTGTGACTGCGGTGGTTGAGGAGAGGAGGCAGGCTTCGAGCGTCGTTCGATGGCTCTGTAACAGAGGCGGAAGAATATATCTGCAAGCAACGGCTCTGCAGCGGCGAGATCCAGTAGCGGCGGCGGACCAGCTTCAGCTTACTATGGACGGCGGCGACCAAGATTTGGAAATGGGTGGCGAGCTCCAGCGGGCGGAAAACTTCTGCTATGGCGCGTGACGGCGGCCGGAGCGGTGATGACATCTCCGGTCAGGTCTGGGATGGGAGTAGGTGACTTCCTACAAGCAGCGAGTCTCAGCTAATGATGCACGGAGGCGGCGCAGTCGTCAGCTCCGGCTGCTGCAGCAGAAATTTGGGAAATGTCAGATTCTTCGTTTCCGATCCGTTGTTGCTGGCATTTTTCTTTTTTTCTTTTATTTTCCAGAACAGTTTCTTGCTGATTCTTTGTGGTTTGGGTAAATTTTTTGGGTAATTTGGGGAGGTTTTCTCACTTGATTGTGTTCAACCTCTCAACGAGAGCACCATTGTTGGATAATTGATACCCATATTGTATAAACAGGAGAAATTGAACAAGAGTGAAGAAGAAATGATGAAGAAGAAGGAAATGTGTATAGAATGAGTATTGGTTATCTGAGTTACAAGTCTCCTATAAGGAGTATATATAGGGAAAATCCGGGTCTGGGCCTCTAATATGGGCCTGACAGACCCGGTTACATAAATGGACTGATAGTATAAAAAGCTAATCTAGAACATCTGAATAATAATAATAATAATAATAATAATGTACAATAATATTAATGATATCTGCTAAACGTGTGCGGGCCGCTGTCCAAGCCTAGTAGTCGGCATACCGGGGGGTCGGAGTCCATATAATCCATCAATTATCAACCCGGCCCAGGGCGCTTTTGTGGAAGGGAGGGGGATCACCGATAACATCCTTTTGGCCCAAGAATTGGTTAGGGGATATTCTAGAAAATCCACTTCACCAAGGTGTCTATTGAAAGTTGATCTCAAGAAGGCATATGACACAATTTGCTGGAAATTCCTGAAGGACCTCATGTTAGTGATTGGGTTCCCACCATTGTTTGTTAAGTGGATATGGGAATGCATCTCCTCTCCTTCTTACTCTATCACTTAAGGGTGATCTTCATGGTTTCATCAAGGGATGAGAGGTCTTAGACAAGGCGACCCCATGTCACCTACTTTGTTCCTACTTTGTATGGAGTACCTGTCTAGACTCCTGAATCTCAGAACTTCTACCCCACTATTTAACTTCCATCCCAAATGCTCCCAAATGAAGATCTCTCACTTAATATTTGTGGATGACCTAATGCTATTCTCCAGGGGTGATATGGCCTCCATTCATATTCTCATGCAATATAATGTTTGCAGAACTTCAAGGAGGTCTCTGGTCTTGCAACCAACATTGATAAATCAAACACCTTTCTAGCTGGGGTTTATGGACAAATTAAAGAAGATATCATTGACATGGTTAGCTTCCCAATTGGTGAATTCCCAGTGAGGTATCTAGGAGTTCCATTGGCCCCTATTAGGGTAACTGTGGCTCAATACTCTCCTCTTATTGAAAAGATTGAAAAATTCACTCTCAGATGGAAAACAAAGAACATGAGCTATGCTGGTAGACTCGAATTTATTCGAGCGGTACTTCAAGGTATCCAATCTTACTGTATTCAGGTATTCCCTATCCCAGTTGCAATCATTGACAAGATTACCTCCCATTGTAGACAATTTTTATGGGGTGGGCTGAATGCCAAAGTTGCTTGGGCAGACATTTGTAAACCGAAGGAAGAGGGAGGTCTCGGGCTTTTTGATTGCAAATCATGGAATTCCGCCATGCTCTCTATAACACTCTGGAACATTCACACAAAAAAGACACATTATGGGTAAAATGGATCCATAGTGTTTACCTTAAAGGATGTTCTATTTGGTAGTGGACACCCTCATCTAGTGTTTCACCCCTCTTCAACAGATTGATTAAAATCAAGGACACCTTGATCACTAAGCTGGGAGGACAAAATGCTATGATACACAAGCTTACAACCTTTTGTCACCTAGGGAAGCTGCAAGCGGCTAAAATCTATGACATTTTGAGAACTAAAGGACAACGCAAACCGTGGATGAGACAAATATGGAAGGATTATATCCCTCCTACATTCTCGTTTATCCTATGGTTGGGACTTAGAAACAGGCTGGCTACGTGTGATAATCTTCTATTTATTGATATGGATCGTACTTGTTGTTTTTGTAAGAGCCACATGGAATCAGCTACACACTTGTTCTTTAATTGCCCATTCACTTGTGCAATATGGAGGGGGGGGGGGGGTTAAAAATGGCTGAATGTCAAGAAAAATCCTTCCACACTTCTTAGTACTGTCAAGATGTGTATTAAGCAATATAGGGGTACAAGATTGAAGAGCAAGGCGATCAGGCTATCTTTTTGTTGTACCGTTTACTCTATTTGGAAAGCTAGGAACGAAGTCATATTTGCTCATAAAACAGCTACCATCCAAGTAGTGTTCGAACAGATTAAATTTCTTGTCTATCGAGTGCTATTCAGGATATACCCCATTGATATGATAGATTTTTTATCTTTATTCTAGGAGGTTATCTCATGTCACGTTTTGAGTGATTGTGGGTGTTGTTTGTTGAGCAAAGGCCTGTTTTGCATCAGCTGAAAAGGGGTATTTAAATTTTTTGCATTTATATTAAATTTTTTGCATTTATATTATTAACCTTTCATAAAAAAAAAGTCATTGTGTAGTTAGGTAAATTATGTGAGAGATATGGCGAACACATAAAATAGGTACAAAGTACAGTTCAAAATGTGTAATGAGTAAGAGTTGATACAAAATACGTAGTACTCCTTAATAAATACCGAGTAATACTAGTAAGTACGAGTAGTAGTTTCAACTTCTCAAAATATATGACACTTGTAGATTTGACATGAGTTTTATTTAATTTGAGAAGTTCAACAATGCATTTACAATTGTAATCTTAAAAAGTAAGAAAAAAGTTAACGGTCTAGCTACTTATTAGGGAGTATTATAAGTAAAAAATAAAATGATGAAGAGCTAAGTGTGAAAGTAAAGTATGAGTAAATTTTAGTAAGAGAAACATTGATGATATTATTATCATCCATCACAAAATTGCCCTAAATAGGACTAAAAACTTTTTGTATATTCCAAACTAGGACTCTCATATTTTTTTCCCAAAATATAACTAGTTACTGTCATCTTTTGACAGAATCACATTTTACACATGACAATATTTTTAAACTTGACAATAATTACTCCTATTTGGAAATAAAAATATGACAATGCCATTTTGAAATTTTCAGACTCTTTTACTCATATTTCGGGAATTTCCCCTTTTTAGAACTGTAAAAAGGAGATGTCTATTTTAGACTAATACAACATAAGATTATCTCTTTTTCCAAAGTAGTAAAAGTAGGGAAAACAATTACGGAGTATTATAGTAATTTCTCTAAATAAGACTAAAAGTTAATTAAAGTGCATAAACAAAACTACTCCCTCCGTCCTATTAGAAAGTTCTCACTTTCTTTCCTGGGACGTCCCATATAAATGTTCTCATTTCTATTTTTGGAAACAATTAACAATCTTAAGTGACAAATTATTAATCATTGAATTTTTAAAATAATAATAAATTTACATCACAGTTATCAATACTAAATACTCCCTCCGTCCCCTTTTAAATGTCTCGTTTTACCATATTGGGATGTCCCTATTTAATTGTCACATACCTTATTTGGTAAACTTTGTGTGGCTCAAAATCATTCTTACTTTATTCTTACTTTATCAATTAATATCAACCACACAAACTCACTTTTCTTAAAACCCGTGCCACCATCTCCCGTCCCATTTAAAAGGGGACGCAGGGAGTACATTATAATATCACTAGTAGAAAACAGGCTTATAGTGACACTTTGTTAGTGACACTTTTTAATATAGTGTCACTAAAATACGACATATCTTTTTTACGATGTATATGTGTCATTAGTTTCTGACACAATAATATCAATATCAGTTAGTGACGTTCACACTCTTTTTTATTTTCTTTTAACATTATTTTATCGTATCTTAACACCTAAAATTTATTTTCTTTCTCCCGTCTCTAACTCAACTTTAACACTCTTTCTCTCTTCACTCGCAGAAGCCTAGCAATTCTCGTCGCTCCTCTTAGAGTCGTCATCACGCCTGAGGCCTGCGCGGCATCCAAATGTCGTCGGCGGGGTGCGGGAACCGTCGACTGCTCAGGCTGGGTCCTCCTATGTTGCGGCGGTAAGGGAGACACTCCCCGGCCGACGCCTTCACACCCAACCTCGATTCTTCTCCGCCATTGACTTTTTGGGACTCCCACCAAAGCCGGCCGGTAAGCTGGATGACACCGCAACGGTCTCCTTCACCGAATCCGACATCCAGGTTCTCTATATTAATTTCCGATATGTTCTTGTTAGAACCTTCCCGGAAGGCCATCCCCACCTTCCTTCAATTCGTAAGGCCATCGATGCGTTAGGGTTCTCCCGCCCTTTTTTCGTCGGGCTCCTTAATTCGAATCGAATCCTGCAACTGTGACTCTAATTTTCAGAGATTTTGGTTAAAAAAAAGTTTGGGATTTCTTTGGTTTCGCAATGATGGTTACCAGATGGATGCCATATGCCAGTACCGCTTTGGGTGGCCCTGAATGGGCTGCCGATACACCTACATGATGTCCGAGCCTTATTCTCCATCGTGAGTCTTTTAGGCAGGCTTCTACAAATAGACAATCCTAGGACCAATTTCTCTAGGCCAACCACAACCAGGTTTTGTATTCAACTAAATGTTTCTAAAGTTTTTCACATTAAGATCTGGATAGGCAATGGTGATTCAGGTTTTTATCAATCTGTGACTTATGAAAATGTCTCTATTTTCTGTACTGTCCCTACTGTTATTTATGATGCCCAAGCAAATGCTAAACTCCAGGTTGGAGTTTTTGATAACCAAAGTGCTGTTGTTAGTGAAGGTTTAAACTTTAAAGGCCCCTGTCCCTGCTATTTTTGACTTACAGTGCACTGTTACTCATTCATGTCCCTTCACAGTTGTAACAGACTGCAACGAGGCCCCTCTTGAAGCTACTAAAGCTGTTCTTAACACTAGATGTGCTATGGTTACAACTGTCCAACGTCTAGTGCCTTTTGATTTTGATGAATTCCCGTCGGCCAACACCCTTCACGAGGCGGTAATCAAGGATATTCAATGTTCTTTGCTTGATTTGTATTGTTGGCTCTAAAGTTCATGACTCACTGTCCCGCTATCTGAGCGGCATTCTAATGCCGCTGGCGGAGGGGCTGGATCTGTTGGCTCTTAGACCACTGCGTATTGATACTCCAACTGCGAACTTCTACACACCCTCAACCGCTAGAGTTTGCATTGAGATTGACATTTCAAAAGCTCTTCCATCGAAAATTTGGATTAGAAGTGTGGATTCTGGGTTTTTCCAGTCCATTACATATGAAAAAATGCCCTTTTTTGTTTAACTTATTTCTAGATTTGGTCACGTAGGTTGTCCACGGACTGATAATACATTAGAGCATTTATCTAAGAGGACTTTGGTATCTGAGGTTAGTAATAAACCTCCTGAGGCTGAGTTAGCGAAACTGTATTGGTTCATGAACATTTAGTCCCCGAGGATAACGCCCCTAAAACTTTTGCTCCATCTGATGTACAATCTAAGCCTCTTTTGTGTGTGCAGGTTGATAACGTCCCTAATCACCCTGAATGTGTTGGTATTGACAATGCCCCTGTGGATCGTGGTTCTAGAACCAGTGATTTTGATGTTCAGGCTATTGCTGCCAATGCAGTTGATACTCAAGATGCCCCATCTGTTTTTCCAAATGCTGCCCCTATTAAGGCCCCAATAACAACCCCTCTAAGTGTGATCTCAGTAATGTGTGATGCATCTCCTGTTTGTGCTATTCCAGAAACCCCCCTCCCCTTTAAATTAAAGATGTTGCCCGGGCAGCTTGTCCCCCTCTTACTGATGATATTTCTTATGAAGCTTGTGATCACCCAGCTGTCCAACTCCCTGATGCCTATGATGAAAATCTGAGGCTGCAGCCCCTTTTGATTGAGAAGCAAACTATTGCGGCAGCTTCAAAGTATGTAAACAATGAAGGCCCTTATGATAGTTAAAATGATACCCAAGTTGTAAATGTTCAATCTGCCAATCCTTTAGCCACAGTAGCCCCAACAAATTGTAACATGAATTGTGCAACTATTCTTGAGAAGGAAACGGTTGATACCTCTGCTCCCCAACGCCACAGTGCCTTCAAACATGATGAACCCCCGATGGCTACCTGTAACAAGGCGGTAACCGGGAAAATAACTCATGATCTGATTACGTGTGTGCATCGAAATCGGAAATGAAGATCTTCTTTCTGATCCCAGCACTTCATATATTACACTGGTCCGAAAAATGTCCTGTAATGAAATCATATCTAAGGATAGTATATTTTTAACTCTTTCTGTTTCAGGTAATAAAGTAATCTCGCCTGTCGATGAGGAACTCCTGGAAGGCCTTACGCAGGTCAACAGAAGAAACAACAAAGGCAGTTATGTAATTTATGCTCATTTTATCATTCTAATATTTGCTTTTAAGGTGTTGTACATTGTTGATTTTACTTATCCTAAAAGTTGTGAGGATGCAACTACAGGTCCCCACATTCATTACAGGTACATAGCATATCTTTCTTTACATTATATACTACTTCCCAACATGTCTTTTCATTACAATTTTGGTCTTCTGTTTAGAAGTTTGGGAGCAACATGTTGTGTTTTGTAATTCCATTCTTAGCTTAGTTGTTTTATTTTGTAGTTTAGAGTTGAAATTTTACTTATTTATAGGAAAGATGTACTAAGTTGAAGTAGTGTGTAATTACTGTAATGTCCACTTTGCAGGTGAAGTATGATAGAAGCAAATGAGGTTTCAAACGATGAAGTTCGTAGCATAAGAACGGGTTTCATTCTGTGCAAGTTTACAAAAGAAGATATGTGAAGGCCCTAGGAAGTGTGGTGTAAAAGTTAGACATATTAGCGTTTTGTTCTTGTATATTAGTTGTTGTTTCCGGGTGTGCCCCCATGAATTATGTAGTATGTACATTCACATTTATGTGAGAAATTGAGATATAAATAAAAATCTTTGAATTTTGGTTATTTATTAGTATTAAATTATATTACATGTATATAATATATATATGTATATTGAAATATATATATATATATACTTATTATACTAATGTATCATATATCTTTATGATACCAAAGTGTCAAAAAAAAGTTATGATATTATAACGTCATAATTTTAGGTGATATTTTATTGTCATATTTTTGCGACACTAATCTGTTTAGCAACCAGTGACACTAAATTTTGTGTCACTTGCCCCCATTGTCTGTGACACTTTCAGAGTGTCACCAAATCGTTTAGTGACACTAATTTAATGTCACTATAAGCCATTTTTTTACTAGTGAATGTATGTATACCTATTAAAATTATTTTCAAAATATACTCGAAGTACTTTATTTAATTATTATCTAAATAACCGTGTCGTTTTGCTATGCGGACCTTCCAACGGGACGGAGGTAGTATATGTTTATAATTTTTAGGACTTATTTGATCTTATTAAAAGAATAAGACTTCATGTTTAGTCCATGAACCTTATATTAGGTAGAAAAGAATGGTGATTTTATTTATGTATTTTACTCATTTGTAGTCCTATTTAATAAATTAATTTTTATTGTTATTCTATAATATAATAAGAGGAAACAAATTAAATAAGGAATCTCTTGAAGTTAGCTTCTTTACTTTATAAAATAAGGTAATATAGCTATTATGGGTGCATCAAGTTAACTTCTTCACACACATTTTAATAATAATAAATCTTCGAGGAGCATAGTGTATTTTAACGCGATAAATGAAAAGATCTCATTATTTATTCTATGAGTCAAATTTTTATATTCAAATACTACGTATTACATTTTCAAGATGACAGAAAAGGTCTCTTGATTACGAAAATGTTAACACATTTTCCGTTTTTTTTAAATCTTATTGTTTTATAACTATTAAATACTCCCTACCCTATTAAATCTAATGCACAAGCTTCCTTTTTATTTAATTCTAATATTAATTAAGAAATTAAACCTCTTTTTATATACTTCGTATATTCTTACTAATTCAACAAAAGTTATTCATGATCATAGGTGCATAGAGATATAAACATATATATAGAGGAAATCATTCGCAGAAAATTAAACCACATCTACCATATACCACGCATCGATCTGGAAATTTATTTACATAAAATAAAATATACGTATAAACACATGGCTAGATTATTAAGCTCTTATTATATTCTTGCATCAATAATAATCTCCATCATTCTTATATTTTCCCCATCATATCTTCTCTCGCAGTCCGACTTATCCGCCAGGGTATACAGCAAATGTACTCCGGCCAAGTACACCGCCGGCTCGACCTTCGAGTCGAACCTCAACTCGCTCATCGCCTCCCTGGTCAACTCAGCCGCCATCATGCCCTACAACAACTTCACCTCTGTGGGGTCCCCCAACGGCGGCGCCAGAGGACCGGCCGCCGCCGCCTACGGCCTCTACCAATGCCGCGGCGACTTATCGCTGCAGGACTGCGCCACGTGCGTGGCCGGCGTTGTGAAACAATTCGCCGGAATCTGCCCCCAGGAGACCGGAGGGCGCCTACAGGTGGTCGGGTGTGTTGCCATGTACGACGCCGTTAACTTCATCGGCGTGCAGGACAAGACGGTGGCGTTCAAGCAATGCGGGAGGTCCGACGCGGCGGTGGCGAAAACGGTGGATGCTGTTTTGAAGGGCCTGAGTGGGCCCACCGGGGTGAGTAAATTGAATGCGGATTATGAGGCGATTGGGATGTCGCAGTGCGTGGGTGATCTGAGCGCGGACATGTGTGAGGATTGTTTGGGGGAGGCGATCCAACAGCTGAGAACGGCGTGCAGTGCGGCGGTTTCCGGCGAGATGTTCTTGGGCAAATGTTATGCTAGGTACATGATTGGTCAATCGAGGAAAGGTACTTTACTCACAGATTTAATTAGATTATCAATTTTTTATGATTGAATTACTTATTTCAACTTTTGATTCATTTGTTTCACCTGAAAAAAATGCTACATAGACACGTACGATCATATCCTTAAAATTTTGTCAATTTTCCGTTTTTTGGTTATTGCAGTAACTTTTGGCATTTTCCCGTATAAGTAAAAAAATCAAGGATTGGAATTTTATGAATCAATGATTTGAAATATAAACGAATTATCAATCCGTGCGTTTCTTCTTACAAATTTCAACCACATAGTTTTTTCTTATTCATCTCGCGTGTGTCGGTCAAACTTGACAAAATTTTAAAGGACGAATAGAGTAAATATGTAGTACTAAGTTTATTCTTGAATTTTAAAGTTTATTAATTTGATGAGGTCAAAATTAACTAGATCAGCTGGAATTGCTAACATTCAAATTGAAATAAGTAGAAAAGTATATGAAAAGGTTAAGTAAGTTGGCATAATTATTTTAACTTTATTACTCCGTATGAAAATATTAAGTTGGCATTATTATTTTGATCTTATTTATTATAATTATCATATATTCAGTATATAATTAAGCATGTGATCGAAATAAAAAAATCTAATGTTCTCTAAGAAAATGAGACTCATAAGCCAAACTTGATGTTAAAAGGAATCTTGTTGAACTTTCAGATGTTTGGAATTCCATAAATTTTGAGTCTTTCTGATGAGTTCTATTACGTATATTTAAATTTTAAACATGTATTATTGATATAAACTAACATGTAAATGTTCATTAGGGTGGATGTCGCAATTTACATCATTGTTCACAAACTGGAGCACGGGTAAGCTATATGTGTGTGATGTTATTTATGCATTCATTCATAAGAATAGTATCAAGTTTAATTTATTAATTAATTGTTTTCCTCGTACTTCTACAAACTGGAGACTTCATCCACCACCACCACCAAATTCAAATCACTAGGGTATTATTCTTTGAGGACAATTTCCTAACTACTATTCCGATCTTATATTTTAAAAATTAAGTCAATTGTTGTTCAAAAAAAATTAAGTCAATTGGTTACCTCTACTCGAGTTCTAATGTTAATTTCCACTCGATCTTTTTGTCTGACATCGAATTTTGACTCATTTAGCTTCATATAAGTGTCAAATATTATGAAATTTATCTAAAATATTGGTCCTTGAAAGCCAAAACATTTTTATCGTAATTATAAGTCATAATACGTCTCAAATTTTCTATATATTGAGGTAGTTGATGGATTATATAGATGAAGATAAGTATTTTGATGGGTAAGAGCGCATATTTTTATAACTTCTATCTCAAATAAGCTTCTTAATTAATTTGTATTTTCATTTGTATATACAAGTATAAATTTAAAATATAACAACATTGAGGGAGTTAGCTCTTTTCAATGACATTTCTACGCATGAGTGTCGAAGAAGATGCAATAATAAAGAGTAGCAACTGTATGACTAAAAATCTTGAAGTTGAATTTATTTAACATTTACTACGTACTAGCTAGCACATCATATTGTAGACAACATTCATCAAAATGGTATATATTCATTCAAATTTTAATTAATGAAATAAATATTAACGAAAGAGGTTAATTAACAATGATGAAAGTGTATAAGGAAGAAGCTAGAGGGGATAAGGGATTTATTCCAGTTCATTCATCTATCATGAATCAATGGTTTCACAACCCTTAGAGCTTTTTTCCGTCTTCGGTTATACGAAGGACGGTTGGGTTTCTCATCGGCGATCTTCATCCACGGAAGTCCGCTTCCGCTGTTCGGTGGAGTCGAGCGAGGTTTCGTTGTTACTTCGGTGTTGATTTGCTGATCGTGAGGTCGGGCGAGAGAAGGGAAGCAATATTTTTTGTCGAGGTGGAGGGGTCGACAGAGAAGAAGATGGCCGTGAGGGGTGATGTAGCTACGAGTGCGGGACGGGGAGTGTTGCAAGGACTTCGAGTAGGCCAGATTGCGATCGACAATGGAGGATCAATTAGCATGGTACCGGTGGTACGACCTCCTCCTGAACCACCACCATGGGTGGTACGAGGTGCTAGAGTCCGTGAAAGTTTTTCTAGTAATTTTTATCTGTTTGTGATTTGTTTTCTTGTGTCCATCTGTGTTGTTGGTTTTGACAGTTTGTTTGAGTTTTTAGCCTCTCTTTATGTCATTGGATATGGTTGGATCTATGGGAACAGGTTTGGCTGTGTCAAGCCCAATACATGGTTAGCGATTCGTGTTGCTCTTTTAGGGGTGACCGTGTCAAAGTCTGATCATAGGGTTTACAGTCGTCTTGTTGGAGTTTAGTTGGTGTCAGGTTTATTTTCCTTTTGTTTGATGTAATGACCCTGAATCTTTTGATATGAATAGATGCGTATTTTAATGATAAAAAACAATGATTAAAGTGTGGTCAAAGCTCAAGATGTAAGTATTTAAATATTTAAACAACATAAAGTTGAACTAGTAATTATGACCTAACCTTAAGGAGTTCATAACTTTAAAAATGTCTCAATAAGCATGAATTGTCTTTGTGATTTAATATGTTTATGCTGCTTAAAACAAAATTCCTTTATAGAAATTGTCTAGACTAAAGTATATGTGTTTTTCCTATATATGACTACAATATCCTTTTCCTAAAATGTACTCCGTAATACGGAGTATGACACAATTGTTTCAATGTATATAATACGTAGTTCATACTTTACTCTTATTTAATTTATTTATAGAAAACCCCAAAGTGTTTCAATAATGTTTTAATTTCGAAAATTACCTCCTTTGATTTTTATTGGCATTCATGCTCGTGTGATGCAGAATCTCATAGTGATCATATGAAAGCATTAATCATCGTCGGATGCATAATCGCATTTCTGCTGCTGCTGGTGCTCATATTAGTGTGTTTGTGCAAACGGAAATCACGGAATGATAAACCACAATCACCGCAGAGACAGGGTAATTACTACTTATAAGCTACTTGCTTTTTTACAGTACGTTACAAAAAAAGGAAAAACCAAAAATGACCAACAACCAAAACTAAATGGATGAAAATTGAAGTGGCGGATCGATAATAAAAAAGGATGAAAATC